TAATTAGTAACGTGTACATAATTATGTTATTACTAATTGTACAAGCGAAATACTTTTTTATATCATATTTACAATAAGTACAGGATAATCCATTTAACAATCTGTGTACCAAGAACTATGTAAGTAAGTAGGTATGTAATATTCTCATTTTACAGTAAATCTAATTAGGTTATTTAATTTATTGCTTAGTATTCTACTTGTTTAGTATCTACTTTGTATCATTGAGAATTAATTAGAATATAAAATGGCAATCGACCCACGTGTGACGGAATTAGAATATTATCGAGAACATTATGTTCTTACATGTATAGTTTAGTTAGTTATTTTGTTCAAAGATCACTCTTAAACCTATAGTTATAGGAGATAATGCTAATAACTACTTATCTAAATACTAAATATGTATTTATCTAGGTATTTTCCTTTTCCTATCACGGAAAATACACCTATTTTACACCTTTAGTAACTCATTACTAACTACTACTTACACTTCTAGTCTTAGGCAAGTTTTTATGCATTGTCTAATCGCAAACCTATTAATATTTAAATTAGCTTACACCCAATTAGTGCTTAAACAATGTCTAGGTAGTAACCTTAAACATAGACTTATGAATGAAGCCATAACAATGATAGACAGTTTAGGTCGACCTAACCTAGACATACTCAGGTATTATAATTTCGGTCATCACTATATTGCTTAAGAACAAAACCGTTGAATTTAATATTAATATAAAAGCTCAAAATTATTCTTATAAGATTAATGGGTTTTTTTCTCACTAGATGGCGCCATTGACGACTTCTGTCCCATTTGTATAATAACTAAAATTATCGACTTTGTTATTGCATGACAAAAATTACACTTAAGATTTGTGTTGATTACACAAAGTCTATTTAAAGGTGTCCTAAAACGACACTAGCGCCACAACTAACAAACGCCGATAAAAGTCCTCATTATAGTCATATTACAAGAGAGAGAAGAGACTAACCGATAAAATCCAGTGCACTCCAGTACAGTCTTCTCCTTAACCAGTGTTATATGTAATTGGGCCAGGATGTCGGGAATAACCGGCTGATTCATACAATCTCGTGACTACGCCCACTTTTAGCTCGCCTACAATGTGAACACAGCTGATAGATTCGGCTATTTCTCTACTGCTCATCTGCTATTGCATTTTATTGGAGTTTTTAAGTAGAAGTATTGAGAGGAATTAAATAATGATAATACACTTGACAGTTAATTGAAACTATATGAATCGGATGATAGTCTTTTATCACGATGCGATTGTATCTTAACTTTTTCTCTATTGTATAGTTTTTAATAATGTTTGTCTTTAGTTAGTACACGTTTGTTCAATATAAAAATGAAAGGTTTATTGAGGACCTGGTGGCGTACTATGACGTCTTAAAACCAAAGTGGTTCCGCTGAGGGAACGAGATCTCGCTAGACGACTTGAATAGTTCTGTTTCTTTCCCTCAATAGAACCATTCTAACTTTATGACGTCATAATAACCCCGATGATCAATTTAAGCACAAGAAATCTACGTCTTGTAATGATCAGATATGCAGAATTTAATAGAAAAATTACGTATGTTCTTTGTCTTCCTGTTATGGACACGGGATATTAAAATTAAGATAGTTAGTCTATTCCAGTTATAACCAGTATTAGCAGGATAACCGCTAATAATCACTTAAGATATTCAAGGCGGATTGTTTAGGTTTCCTCCTTTAATTTTCCTTGTCATCGTCCAATCCACCATAGCACAGATGCAGGTCAATCAACTCCAGCATGCTCATGAAGTTTGAACTTTACCATTCTCGATTAAAGCTGATATTTATTTGACGAAAATTGCTGATTGGTGTAGGTCGATGTGCTACGTCTCTGGTAGACCGTCATAACAGTATGGCGTTGGTATAAAAAAGTGACTAATATTTAGATGACGAAGGCGTTTGGCCACACCCATCAAATCTTATGTGATATGAGGATCATGTGTTTATGGTACATCATACTCTTTTGAATAAGTACTTGCGACATTGCTAGCGTCATCTTATTAATACTCAATGGTAAGTCATATCACATGACAGTAATCAATGGAATTTGAAATAGTTACTAGTGTTATAAAATCTAGGAATATTCTTGACACAAATCTTAACGATCAAGCTTTGATGTTTCATAAAAATGGCACATTCTATCATAGAAAGAAAATTAATTCCAGTGTTTAATCACCAAATTCAAGGCTAAATAAATGGCAATATCTTTGATGTTCGCAAGGTTATTCATTGTATGATTAAAGGCCAAACGTTAATAAAAATATATTTAGTTCGTCTACACCATGAGCTCTCTGCTTCAGATAATTATAGATTTCAATTACTCACGCCTCGTAATAGACTTTTTATAGATCCACCCTAACAACGCATTAAACCGACCTTAACCTTAGAATTATTTAATTTTAATGAGGAAAGACGGAAATCGTAAACACGTAATGGATAAATATGTTAAATTACTATAGGGGGCAAACAAAATGTTGTCAAGTATACAAAGGTCAGAATATATAGGTAGGTGACACATTGTTGAAGCTCGTAGGCCTGTATGTACCCCTGACGACGTCACAACACTATTCTTGAAACATTCCGCATAAAAATCCTATTTATACGCATTAGAATCGCGGAAACAATACTCGTTTGGCACTACTAAAAATGTATAAACCATGTGTTACTACGCAGCCGTAGGCTCTGTGGAATACATCTTACTACGCCGTAACCAGTTCCTTAAATACATTGTAAAATATTGCGGTTTTTTTCCGACACTCGTGCGACATTCATATACATAATGTAAATTATCCGGCCAGACGACATTTCGTACTTAATTCCAACATTATTCTCTTATAAAAATGAATGGGATTCACAAATTACGAATTTCAATGTCACGCCTCGTGTATTTAGGTTGGACGTGCCAATTTCTTCAGTTTGCTCCAAGGTTCGTTGATAAGTGGGCGTATATAGGTTAGTAGGATCGTCGGAAGATATCGCATTGTGTGCTCTGGGAAGCTATTGGTTTTGATTACAGTCGCCTTTGTGTGCCTACGAGATATGGAGTGATTGGAGGGGATGCCTATCTCTCGATAAGATGGCGCGTTTCATTACGGCGCCGGACTTAGGTCTTTAATTGAAATCGAATACGAATTAAACACAAAATGCCCTTATTTTCTCCCAAGCAAATACATCGTGTGTATACTGACGTAATATATTTTTAGACAAATTAACACATCGGAATCACTTTCCCAATAATTCAGTTGTAAGCTCTGTTCACGGAAACCCATCACATAATCAAACAACTTAAATACGAAGAAGTAATGAGGAAGCGTAAATATTTATAAATACCTTGAACGAATATATTCTACGAGTAGTTTCATCTTTGACTGATAAAACATAAACATTGTACATGGACGTCTTTCCTTAACACATAGAAAGACATAGAATAGTTATTTACTCAGTGATGGACAAATACAAGTTGTCCTGTTCTCGGGGAATTCCTTTTAGGTACGGTATCGAGAATAGATCTTGCGTCAACTACTATCTTAATCGTCATCTGTGTACTTTATGTAATTCATATAGCTTAGTAACTTAGGTAATGAATGAAAATGTCATTCATATTTCTTAATACCTAATATAAACCTTTGATATCCTATCTTAAAGTAGAAATCGTTGCATTACTCAGATATTCTCAGAATGACATCACGTTAATAGAAAGTTTGTTCATCTGCATCTATTTGATATTCAACTGTATGCTATTGATGCAGTCTATTAAATTAAATGAAGAGATATTGAAATTAAATTAACTACTTTTACTTTGATGCAATTACGTTACTGCTGGATTCTATTAATAGTTACCTTTTTGCGTCACCAAGTGATACTAGATTCGCGCGCGAAATCAGGTGGGACGCTGCTGATATAAATATTGGTAAAAAAAAAAGATTTCGCACTTTGTGGAAGTGGAGACGAAAGAATTATTATGTAAATTGAACGAATCAGCTGCTAGTGTACCCACGCATGTTGTAAAATTGCTAGAGAAATGGGTTAATAGAGTTAATGCGGTGGTAAGCCATGATCTAGTAACCTAGGTCTACCCACTTGCTCAACATCTCTCTTCCCGGATTTGCCATAGCGACAGGATTTAAAAATATCTGCATAAATTGTCGAAATGAAGAAAATACAGATAGCTGTAGTTCATTTTATGGTGATGGCAATTGCTTATATATCGATGAAAGTGAAAATGAGATAGAGCTTGTTGATAAACAAATTGAACATAGCAATTCTTGATAGGAAGCTAACCAAAATATGTGTTTTACTATTTTTCCTGTTCGACATAAAATCGAAAAGTACTTAACTACTTACATAGTTGGATACTAAAATGAAACTAACGTAATTACAAAATCGTCTAAGTCTAACCATCTGCCTTGAAGTTGCATCTTCAGAAACAATCCCAAGCCTCCGATTAAACCAGACACCTAACTGCACCAGTAAATGCAGCACACGTTCAATTTGAAACGGTAAACTCTATAAATAAATTGACAATCATACAATGTAGTGCATTCTTACGTGTGCCAAGATATGTATGCGGGACTCCAATAGATCAAAATAACTCTTGATTCATTGCGAACCGTTTTGCAATAGCATTCATTCTCCTTATGCAGGCTGGTTTAGGCACTGGCTTGCCTTTTTCGTCTTTGTATAGGCATTATAGTTTTGTTTTAGGCTTATTATGTTCGGGTTGGCTGTTTTCTTGTGTTAAGGTGGAAACTATTTCGTTTGTCTGTCGTTTTCTGAATTTTCGGTATCCGGGAATGTTAATTTTTGTCCCTGATATGCATTGAGTCTATCTTTCTGGTACATTCTGTTTTCTCGCCATACACAAAATTTTCCAATACTTTTCTAGAATCAATGGTAGCTAATAATATATAATTGTTGTTCTAATGTAAGCCAAACTTGACATTTCTTCTGTTGCCTAATCTTGTTTTTCTAAGTTTACGATATCAAAGGAATAGCAATTGTACCTCACAAAGAACTTATTTGGTTTGATCTTGGTACTCGGCATCCGCCTCCGTATTCCATAGTATTTTTGTAACATCCTCGAACTATTTGTTAAATGGAACAAAGTAATTGAAATGAGATGTGCATAAATATTTTCGCTTTGGAGGAAAAGAGTGAAAATGTCAGTGAACTGCCAGTCATAGGGCGTAGGCGATCCATCCAATGTGCCAGTGGCCAGTACACTACGAGTTCCGCTTGGCAACAGATAGCTACAACAAACAATTGTTTTCTGAATGTCTGATCTGTTTGTATTTTTCCTAGAAGTCCAAAGAAAATTATTCATGGTACGCGGTAATGTTTTGAATTTCTAGTTCACCTAAAAAACTTCAAACCTTTTTTCTATAGCGAATCTGTTAACAAAATGTAAGCAACCGATATCGGCAACAAAATGTCGAATATTCCTTTTAAATAATACATGAAGACGCTATACCGATAACCTTACGTACATAAGGATTTACGCCCTACTACAAATTCCATTTGCTAATTACTTAGTTAATATTCAAACGGTGATTTTCCTCGTCCATTGTGAATTATATACGGTCGCAAGTAATTAACGACGATACCTCTGTCCCACCGCATTGTATGGCACCACGTGACCGCTGCAACAGTTGCAATGTATCGGTGACCTAGCACCCATTGCCCGAGCCGAGTCACAAGATAACGTAACATAGGTCAAGATGCTTGTTCTATTCAAACATCTACAATGTTGTATTCAAAGACCAGTATGTAATCGTTCCTAGCGCTCAGGCCGCTCGTACTCATTACAGATAATTGCATTTTGTGTCATGTCGTGCTAATCCTGACAGTTTTACAAACTAAAAAATGTCGCAACAAAAATCCTAGAATACACGCAACATTTGCATGTCGTGTGATCTTTTTCCCAAGATTTTCCGACATTTGTGTCATAGTAAATGCTCTTTTGCATTACGATATGAGCTTCTGTCCGCCAAGTGTTTATGTTCTACTGTCTGTTTTAACAGATATTAACCTGTTGTCACGCTTATGAATGCGCTATTATAATTCTCAACTGTTCTAAAATGGTGTGGCGTATAATGAATGGAATATGCAAATTGAAATGCTGTTGCTACGCGGCATTTATCTCGTTTTAGACATCAGCGATAGATATAGTTGCGGATAGCGTAGTAGGTGCCCTACATGGTTGCGTCATACGGTCGTAGGCGCCGGCGGCGGCGCTAGCGCGCATCTCGGTCAGTGTGCCACGCGCGCACGCACCTAGTCACGCGCACACAGATTCACACCAGATTACGCATTTTCACGAAGATTTTACACGTTGTTTGAGATAATAGCGGTTTTATAACACTGTCACTTTTGTTGGAATGCTTATCATCATCTAGAAATAAATTTGCAAATACTTACACTTCTTCCTCATTGTCACCGACAGGGTCATTGTGGTGATCTTTGCTGTATTTAAATGGCTCATAGTGTTATTGACTTTATCTATCATTTGTTATTATAATTACGCTTATTGTACTTAACATTTATTACGGTTTTCGACAACAGTTACAAAATAATACATTGAATGTGAACTGGTATACTTTTAGGGCTTGTTTTACTGTTGTCATTAAACCTAGAGCACTATTCTATTAGTTTTATTAGTTCGCAAGTTATGTTTGCAATTTAACGCTGTTGCATCCCAAGTCGTTTCTGTTTTATAGAGTACCAAATTTTACAACCTGTCAAAAGATTTACAGCTCGCTACACATAGTAATATTTTACAAGTTTATATGCTTATTTATTAACGGCATTCAGTAACTGGAAGTCTTCATTTTTACAAATATTTATAGACCATTATTTTCACTTCAAATGTCACATTCATTATGTGTGAACGTCTGTTGCGAAATGATGCAATTCTATACTTTTCTATGTTTTCCAAGGTGACTGGAGTTATCTGTAAGACATTTATTTTAGTACGAGGAAACGCAATTCTTTATTATTTATGTGACAATGTATAGATTGGAGTGAATCCAACACTGTGTTTTTCCGATAGAAAAAATCTAATGGTGACACTCTTGTTGCAATACTTCATAATTATCTGTGTCCGATGCGATACTCTTTTCTATGAAACTTCTGGTAGCAGACATCATGCAGTTTAGTTTTAGAAAAGATGTGTCTTGCATCAGTCTCTGTCTAAAATGCACTCGGTGGTGGCCTCCGTCGACCGTAATTATTATTAATTACACCACATGTTTAATAGTTCTCTGAATGTTAGTCATTTACTCGCTTTTAGTTTTTCGTAACATGCATGGTATTTCCGTAGCTAGTCTGTGTTCTATTATTTAATGGGCAAAGTCCTTTTTTGAATGTTTTGTGATTTAATACACTAGTATCCTTTCTTACTGACTGCACCAGGTTTTGAACTCCTGTCTTTCGTATCGGGAACATGTTTCATAACCTCCGGCTATCACGACAGCTTGGTATAAATAAATATCGTCCTAAGTAATGCTCCGTGGATAGGCCGTAGGTCAATATAGCCATTAGATGGCGTTGTGTTCGCCATTACAGACCGCCAAGAAGGGAGTGGTGTATAGTGACCATGGCTCTAATGTATTGGGAATGACTTGCTGTCTACATCCTCCAATATTTGATGTTGACCTTTTAACAGACAGTGATCGACACGACGAGAAGTGCTAAAAACCGTCTTCAGGCATTTAATTGCCATTCAAGAAGGATTTCGTAACCGAAATGAATGCATCTTGGATTTGAAACTCTAAAAATAGTCCTCTGACAAGGTTTAGTCTGGATCGTCCAAGATTAGACTGATTTGATTCATTGTTGACTTTAAATCCTGTTAATCGCATTGTACAAACATCAGTCTCACGTGCGAGACATTTCGTCAGCGAAATTAGAATATTTCTAGAAGCGGTAGTAGTATAGGTATCTAATATATCATGAGTGGGAACAATAGCAGTGAAATATAAGAATAGGTAAAGTATTCGTTCTAAACGACCGTTTATAGTTTGACTTTCCAACAACCTATGTGGCGCTGACGTGAATGTTAATTGTCTGTGTCTCCACATACAAGATCAGACGCCTTGTCATCTACATAAGTATTATTTTATTTTGCCGTTTAAATAAATCTACTGCAGTTTCTAAATCCTAATGCAACAATTAGTACAACCATTTTCTCTTATTGTTGCCATTATTTTTATTGAGCTTAATATTTTGAAATCCAGTTCTATGCTTAACATGTGTGTCCCATTTTGTTTGCATCTATGAATAACTACAAGATCTTTGATAAATCATACGAGAAATCCGGTGTTACATGCTTGAATTAACCGGTCATTTTCACCCGCATGAAGCCAAGCAAATGATGAAAAATAGATCAAATATACCTACGCTTAATCTTAAAACTCGGTTATTTATAGCCAAAGAAAGATTTTATTACCGGTACCGACTTCCCTAATGTCCCTATTTCCTAATGGTCACCCTCGGGTAGGGCGGCAGATAACACGACCAATTTGCAGATCTAATATCCGTGGTCCCAAATTATACTCGGCCACGGGAAAGGGCACCATGAGTGATCCGTATGGGCCGTCTTTATGACGTGTTGTGGATTCCCTGCTTTTATATTAATATAGTTAATAGAGAAAAATGGCGTCCTCTCTGACTTATCGTTGTGGTGAGATGATATTAATTTGTGGAATCGTGTGGGTGTGAATGTGGTGTTTTGTCTTCTTTATGGCCAGACATATTTATTTGTTTCGACGGAATTCTATGGTCGGTTCTTATTTTTAAATAGGAGGTAGGTGTTTTAAGCTTCCGTATCTACCTGCCAATTGGTTTTACGAGATAGAACATTGGAATTTTTTGAATGGCCAGACGGTTAGTTATTAGTAAAAATATCGAAACACAATTTATGCTACTGGGAAATCGGGTCGGATGTAGATGTATGAAATACAAAACTTTCATTCTTGTTGTAACTGTATTTTTCGGATGCGCAACTAAGTACTATAATAATCATAATCGGAAATGTTTTGTGTAGGTTTCGAAACGTTGCTAGATTGTGCTGCTTTTTATTGTATATGGGCGTACCAACTAGCTCTGTTCTGCCTACGGGATAGACCCCACTCACTTTCGATGTCGCACCTACAGACAAGAAAGTGCGTAGGTTTAACACCATAGACAGATCATGTTTTATGTGAGAGCAGAATAATGGAATCATATCGTAATAAATGCACTTTAAATCTACTGACGCGACGGGTAGAGTAATGGGATCAAAGTGCCCTTTGTCCGTCATTCTTAACTAGATTCTTGAGATGAATGCGAGTGAAAGTTGTGAATTATACATATACCTTATGACTTGAACAATACATAGTTTTCTCAACAACTACACAAAAATATCAATTAACTAGCTGATCCGGTAAACTTCGTACCGCCTAAATATTTTACTTTTTTTTAAACCTTCCCTGAACTTCCACGAACATTTCGAAACCAAAATTAGCCAAATCGGTTCAGCGGTTCTCGAGTTTTAGCGAGACTAACGAACAGAAATTCATTTTTATTTATATAGATAACTTTTACTTTCTAAGTCCAATCCAAATATCTTCAGTATCTTCCTATAGTTAATAGATAGAATCGTTCCCACAATATTTTAAACCGATAGCAATTTCCAATAATCTGTATCGTATCGTCTGGCCCCCACTGTCATTAGCAGGCGATACCAAGATACCTCCCATTGATAAATCTACTACAAATTGCTTTATGCCATCGATAATACCCTTTAGTTAATGGCTATGACCAACTCACTGTGCTTAGAGAATATTTCTTCCATGTCATCTCCATCTGTATTTTTTTCTATGTTTTTGAATTCTGTTTGGGTAAATTCCTTTCCCTCATCTGATTTACTTTTATTTGTTGTACTCTGTTTAGCTAAGACATGATATTTTATTTCCATCATAATTCCTAGTGAATTATGTCGATCGCTTTGTTTAGTAGCTTCTTGATGGCAGTTCACTCGATTCTCTTTCATATCGACTACAAATGAATCTCTATTACAACGATGATTTGACCATCATCTTAACTAGTTTCTACTGATTCTGCTGACTCATCATCTCCAAGTACAGACGCAAGGACTCATGTCCTAAACAGATGTCATGAAAAATTCATGAAGTATTTATTTATGCTATAAGCAATGAACAGTATTGTCGTGTTATAAGTAACTATTTACTTATTTTCTTACCTTCATGGTTTAATTAGTGATGTGAGTAATGAGTTCATGACTCATTTTTTCATTGAATTTGTTTTATTGTTGAAATTTAGTTA